CAGACATTCATGAGTCTGGCAATGACTGAAAGCACCATAGTTAGATCTTGTGGTAAATATATTACATTTATCTCAATAGATTGACTGACAATAGTTCATATTAGATCATGATACAGTCTAATGACATTAGTTAATAACTATCCTATATTATCTTCACTACTCATGTATTCTCATATGAATCTCGAGAATTCATATTAAACTCTGTTACTATTAGGCACAGTTTTGTAGAAAGTAAATAGAAGTTAAATTTAAGTTTACTGAAAGAATCATATCGACAGTTTTTCACTAGTAGCCAGTAGTAGTTCCTGGGTTTGAATGTCGTGAGGCGGGATTGTGGATGCCCACTGCTGAACAGTCCAATACTAAGATAAAATAGCCGTCCAGTGTTCCCAGGTTTTTCATTGTGGGATAACTCACTGAAGACATCATTAACACCGTTGAATGACGGCCAGCTCAATGATCTAAAAGTTAGGCGTACACCCACAAGACCAATAGTTCTTAGGTTCGGATCTCACAAGGCTTTATCGTGGATGCCCACTGCTGAACAGTCCCATACTAGGACAAAATAACCGTCCAGTATTTCTTAGTCTTTCATAATAGTCTAACTTTAATTCACTTATGAATTTAATCCATTTGAGTAAAATCACTTTAGTAAACAAATAAACACTTTACAAATCAATCAAATTAAGTGTCATTTAAGTAAACAATAATATACTGTTAACAATTTCTATCACCTAGTTACAATAACTGGGGATAAAACCTTCTCTTTTGATTACATAGGTATTAACTCTGTTTCTTTATTGTAGGATTAGGAAAAGGCGTCGTTTTCTTTCTAGTCAAATTTTTAACTTTCTATGTAAACACAATAAGAGATAAAATTAGACTAATGTAGTTCTGTTGTAAATATGCAATCTAAACTGAACTACTTCATGTATATAATATAGATTAGCTAATTTTATATAGAGTAAGTATTGTTATTATAGGGTTTTGAAGATGGTTGAGTTTTGATGGAAATGATGAAAGCAATGGATGGTTGTTTCATTCTAGAAAAAAAACTCTTTAGTAGTCACAACTGATTGATCACTGGGTGCTGACCAATGTCATGCGTATCTAGTGAAGATTGAATGCTACCGATCATGTTGCAGTTTAGCCACTAGTCTAGGTGACTCGACACTGCGGGCACTATTGTAAGATTAGATGGTGGTTAGAGGTAGTCAACAGGAAACCCTTGATCCGGGTTTCGTGTTACTTGGCACTCGTCAGCAAGGTGTACCTGTAATCTTTGAGGGAACTGGTGCTGCCTGACGGATTCAATCCCGTGTCAACCAGCTTCACAGTCAGAGACGTTCCCACTGAGCTATCTGAGCCGCAACCAACCTCCTGTAGAACTGAGATGTATTCACAATTGATTGATCACTGGGTGGTGATTAATGTCATGCGTGTTTAGTCCTTATTATTAGTGTAGATCGAATGCTGCCGATCATGTCGCAATGTGGCCACCAGTCTAGGTGACTCGACCGATTCACAATATTGTGCGATTATCTTTCATTGTCTTTGATGAATAACTACTTCATACTAGACACGTATTAGCTCCGTTGATCAAAGCTTCTCATTAGAACTCTAAAAATTACCTTATGAAACGAGTCACTACTAGTCACATGATAATAGCCATCTAATGTTTCCAGATTGAGTAATGAATATCTTTCCTGTTCATCATCAGTTTACCAATCTTTCATTCAAATAACTCATTAGTTCACATTCTAATACTCATTTAGAAACACAAAATATTTCTCAGTGATTACTTGATATTAATAAAAATTTACTATTTAACAGTCAAACTGTGTTCAATTCGCTAGTCGTTAGTTACAATATTGTGTGACTATCATCACATTGCAACATGGTCGATAGAATTCGATCTGCACTAATAATAAGGACTAGACACGCATGATATTGGTCAACACTCAGTGATCAATCAATTGTGAATACATCTCAGTCCTACAGGAGGTGGGTGGCGGCTCAGATAGCTTAATGGTAACTTTTCTAACTGTGAAGCTGGTTGACACAGGATTGAATCCGTCAGGGAGCACCAGTTCCCTCAAAGATTACAGGTACACGAAACCCGGATCCAGGGTTTCCTGTCGACTACCTCCAACCACCATCTAGTGACTATCATCCATTGTCTTCGATGGGTAACTGTTTCACTCAAACTATCTTCAATTCAGTATTCATTAGTTACACAAACTATCATTTCTAAATTATTATTATTACAGCTACATTGAATGAGTATTCATTGTCTTTGACAGAATCTCTACTGACGATTCTATTTCAATATGTCATTTGGATTTGTCATTTTAAACACAACAAAAGCACATAAGTAATTCAACTTATCCATGATACAATGATAAAGATCGCTTGTCATACATATATACATACATAGTTTATGTCTATTATGTAACCATCCATGTAAACAATATTACCTATCCAAATCTATAGTCTATTTTAATGTACCAATTAAAGTACATTTTGAAAATGTCAAATGTTTTAATGAAATACTTGAAAGATTATTGATTTATTGAAGGAATATAGTATGAAATACTCTTGTCATAAATTACATAATTATTTCGCAAATCATACGAATATCGCATGATGGATGCGATTGTAGAGATTGATTTAGTTTATACTCTGGTAGAGCCGAGGATAGGGAGAGTTCACACTCCCAACCGAAATGATCTCATATGGTCACGCGTATATAATCACTAACAGGGAAGTCCTACTCACTACCTTCTTACGACTAAGATGTTGTTTACGAAATTGAGAGGATGAAAAGCGAATGTCCGGTGCTTTAACCAAGTTAAGAGATATGATGGATTCAGTTACGGGTGTTGGAAAACACTGATTCCAAATCAATGATCAACATGGGCTCCAAAATCCTGAGGGAACAAATGGTGTATGGACCAATTATTGGTCACCGTTTACCATGGGACTGGAACTTTTGACGTGGCTCAACTGCCTTGTGGATAAGACCTTTAGGTTGAAGGCTCTAGGTGTGGCCCCTTAAGAAAACCATCTAGTTTGATTTAGTTACCCGGTTAGTATTTCAGCCCACACATAAGTTAAGTGACATGTGTGGTGCATATGTATTCAGTGGCCCCCTTTTACCAACGTTTATGTGTTGAAATAAATATATAATCAATTGATGACAAGTTGACATTACTTGAAAGTGTGATTGGACGCCTTAACGGAGGAGTAATGCACAACTATTACATTCTAGACATTATGCTTGAAGAGATGTCAGAAGGAAGAAATTTAGAATCTTGATAGATCTATGTTAAAAAGATATTTTGATAGATCATTATGTCATACAGTAATTACAATTGGCTTTTAGGAGTTCAATTGAGATTTAAACATTTCTAGCTTAAATCTTATCATTAGTTTACTAAGATGTGCTGAAAGGACCTCGACCTATGTATATTCAAACATCATTTATGCTGTTATATGTACTTGTCGTATTTAAGATAAAAACTTGAAATTCAAGCAATTAGTCTTGATGAATTTTTTTTTGGTTAGCGTTTTTTTTTTGTGAGTTAGTTTTCTACGGGATGGAGTCGAGAACCCCATGCCTAACCTTTCTCTTTTACCCGAGCATGGGACCAGCAGTAAATCTAGAAGAGCTACAGGCGGTTATGAAAGGATGAATAATAACTAGAAAGAACTGGAAAAGATTGTCTAAGACAGGGTTGGATGAAGAATTCCGTTGACCGACCTATGCTCCTCCACGAGGAGTAACAGGTGTAAATAAGTAAGTCTTGTTAAAATCGAATTCATTCAGAAGAACTCTAGGATAAAAATATTAAAATTAGCTAGTTTTACTGTTACGAAATTTATGGTATTTCAGGAAAAAGTAAAAGGTATACAAAACTTAAGAACATCCTTAAAATTCTTAATCATCTGTACAATCATATGATTATTCACAGTATTTGTGTAAGAGATTTACATTCAGTGAGAAGCATTAACCAGTAGAGTTTAACAGGTTCTGTTGTGAGATCGTAACTCACTGAAGAAAATGCTGAACGGTGGCTCAATTTCGTGAATTGATTGAAATTATACATTAACATCATTGTTCAAGCGTTCGCGCACCAGACCAAAAAGATCCTATGTCTGAATCTCGTGATCGAGATCGTGGTTGTACACTGCTAAACAGTTCTATACTAGGACAAAATGGCTATCCGATGCTTTCAAATTTTCCATGGTCATCAACTTCTATCGACTCATGAATTTAACCTTGTTTCTTCTCATTGATCGTTTTATATTTCACTCAAATCTAATGTATGTAAAGTGGAAACTAGGGGATAATTTAATTTCATTAATTAGTAGTCAGGTAAACAGTAAAAATGTATTAAATCTTTTGAGATTTAATCAATCAACAGTATTCTGACAATTTGACATAAGAATGAAACTAAACTAAGAATTCATTTATTCCATTCAAAGATTAAATGAATTGAAAATTTTAATAAATTTCTAACTAATCTCATCAATTGTTGCTAAGTGAAATGAAACATTAATCATATTAGATATAAACTTAATTGGTAAATACACATACACATACACACACACACACACAGTATACACATATACCAATAAGAGTACTAATCAATTACAATCCTAAACATCAATCGAATGATTCAAATAAACCACATCAAGTGAATATAAACTTTAACCTATTTCAAAAGTTAGTAGCTATCAAGACTCTGTAGTTATGTGGATAACGTGATGGTGTTCAAAGCGAACGTTACTAGGTTCAAGTCCCTAGAGTGAACATGATCTCTAAGATTCAAGTACATTCAGCTGAAGAGTCCAAAATAGGATGAAATGAGTATTTTGGATTTCATTACTAACTATTATTCATCTTTGGTAATGATTTGTAACATCATTGTTATTATCATGGTTTGATACTTATAGTATTATTTCATATAGTTTAATTGTTTAAGTTATATACTTACCATTTTCCCATTTAATTCATGATAATGAATTGAGCAAACTTTTTCAGCTGCTTGTTCACTTTCAAATGTAACAAATCCAAAACCTTTAAAAACAAATAAAATGAAAAAATTGGCCTACAATTACGTAATTAAATAACAAAAATCTATCAGTATAGGGGTTGTGCAGATTTTTAAGTGTTTGATTGAGATCATGAACTGATTGATGTTAGACCACTGTTGGAAACCTGGAAGGACTGGATCGCCATTTCGTCGGGTAGAGACAGGTATCTACCTCAGTACAATGGAAGATGGTCGCGCAAATTCGTGGAATGGTTAATGTTAGACACAAACACCACTGGATGCTAGCTCAGTGATCAAGTAGGTTAAGTGTTCGTGCGCGAGACTGAAGGTCTTGAGTTTGAATCCCTCGGAAGGGATCATGGATGCTCACTGCTGAGGAGTTCCACAATGAGACGAAACGGCCACCCAGTGCTTCCAGGTTTCCAATGGTAGTCTAACATCAATCGGTTCATGATCTCAATCAACAACAAAAGTCTAATATGATTATACAAACATATTAATGGATTATGATTGATTATCCTTTTATTTTATGATGATAACTCTCTTGTTAGATTGGAATATGCAAATTATTTAGTTCTGTTTTTTAGAGGGAAATTACATAATATGAATACTTCTACGTGAAGATTTCCGATATTGGGGGAAACGTTAGTAGTTGATTTGAGCAGTCAACGGATATCTAACTCACCCACCACTTCTGTGTCGAAAATCAAATGTTCGGAACCTAAACCTCAAGGTTCCCAGACGTAAGAACACCTTGAGTAACAGTGACGAATATTTCTAAGTAATGAAATGTAACAAGAGATAGCCTTAAATATAAAATCATATTTTGTTGATTTATGTGGTCCGTAGAAAAGTTTAGAATTAAACATTAATATCAGAAGGGTTTTGTGGATATTATAGTAGTTTTAATAATTGAGATCATGAGCCAATTGAAGCTAAACTAACATGGAAAATCTGGAAGCACTGAACGGCCGTTTCGTCTTAGTACGAAACTTTTCAACGGGGAGCACTCACGATATCGCACCGCGAGATTCCAACTCAGGACTTATCACTCTTTCTTACCAGCGCTTAATCATTAGATCATTGAGCCGGCATCCAATGGTGTTAATGGATCGTGGATACATACTGCTAAGGAGTCCAAAAGTGGGATAAAACGACCATGTATATACTTTTCGATGTATATTGCCAGTATCCATGATGTCTCTGATTGAGCTCTTTTGTAATTTGTATAGTGAAATGTCGTACACGTTTCACAAAGGCATCTGAATAGGTTATGAGACTAATAGGCATAATGATGTGTTAAAACAAACAAGAAAACAGATAACTTGTTGAAATATCCATATGACAGAAACAGGTAGCCCAGATATTCAAGCAGGCCGCAATGTCTGACAGCGGAAAGTTAAGAAGATCGAAGAAACGTGAATGACAACAGACAATGATTAGAATGGAAATGAAGAAATAATGAAGTCTTAGACAATTGATTGTTATTTTGCAAATGAAGTATTCACTGAATAATTCTTAGATTATACTAAGTGATTATGTAATTTTGTGTTCAAATACAATCAATTGTCCCCACTTGTAATCTTGTTCACTACAATACTACTAACAACTGTTAAATTATCAGTTGTTAACATCCGTTCCTCAAAACACGGAAATGAGTATATTTTCTATTTAGTTGAGAGATTCATATACATACATTGTATATACATATAGACAGTAACACGAATAGCTAACAATTTGTGTAAACATCATTTCCTAAAGTGGACAATTATTCATCATGTTATATTTTACAATAATTAATACATCTACTTAATTAATCAGAAAAGGGTATTTATAGAGATTTTAGTAATTTTAGAAGTTGAATTCATGAATTGATTAAAGCTAGACCACCATTGAAATACTTAGAAACACTGGATGACCATTTGGTCCTATTGTGAGACTGTTTAACAATGCGAATCCACGATCGAATCCAGGATCTATCAATCTTTCTCGTCAGAGCTTTACCACTAGACCACTGAGCTCGCCGGGATCCAATAGTGTTAATGGATCGTGGATAAGAACTGATGAGAAGTCCTACAATAAGATGAAACGGTCGTTCAGTGCTTCCAGGTTTTCAATGGTGGTCTAACATCAATCGGTTTATGATCTCAATATAAAAAACACAACTTAATAATCAGTTTAGGGGTTGTGCAGATTGTTAAGTTTTTGATTGAGATCATGAACCGATTGGATGCCGATTCAGTGGTCCAGTAGGTTAAACGTTAGCGCGAGAGGCTGAAGGCTCTGGGTTCGAATCCCGTTAACGAGATCGTAGATGTGCACTGCTGAGGAGTCCCACAATCGGACAAAATGGCCGTCCAGTGCTTCCAGGTTTCCAACGATAGTCTAACTTCAATCGGTTCATGATCTTAATCAAAAACTTAATAACTTCCACAACCCCTATACTGATAACCCAGTATTTATTGAAGAATTCAACGTATGACAAAGTGATTTGATGAATACCTTCGATACTATTTCAATTAGTTTTTTGTTTGTTTTTCAACTAAGTTTAAATAAACTGATTTATATTTTTTTTTTAAAAAAATTTATTTATGCAATAAATATTAGGTCAAGGTAAGCCCGTTAGAAACAATATATAGACCCAAGTTAAATGATGGTGAATTTCGAGTTGTTTATCTGTGTGTGTGTATGTTGTATGTATGTATGTGTGCGTGCGTGTGTACTTGCGTGTATGTGTGTGTGTGCGTGTGAATTGTACTTCAACTTCGTAAATGTATTAACACTAAGTCTTAAATCTTAAAATACCTCAAACAAACAAAAAGACAAACTAACTCCATTCAGTGAGTATTTCATAGTTGAATGTAGACTGATTGAAAGGGACAATCAAAAATTGTGAAATATTGTAATTGATTAAACAATGAAATTTTATGATAAGTATTAGTATTCATCAGTTGTATATATGAATTGATCATTCAGAGGAATTCGCCAATTCTATTTATTTATTTATTTGAACACAGAAACGTCGGTACAAAGAGGCACCAAACATATATGAGCCACACAATAGCAATGAGGCCAGTAATAGTTATCACTGATTTGTGTGAAGGCTGTGCTACTGCCCAGATGACTGAAGTGAACCAGGTGGTTTACTCCGGTTGGGAGATCACACTTCGACATGGAGGTTCAATCCATAAGATAGTAGAGCAATGCAAAGAGTTGCAGACCCATGATAGCCGATGACCAACAATAGGTTCACACGCCATTCGTTCCCTCAAAATATTGGAGCCCATGTTCATCATTGATTTTAAATCATGGTTTTCCAACTCCCGTAAATGGATCCTCTATATTCACCAACCCAGTTAAGGCACCGAACATTCGATTTTCATCCTCTTAATTTCGTATAAAATATTCCCTCTGCGAGAAGGCAGTGAGTAAGATTTCCCTGCCAGTGATTGTATACGCGTGGCCATATAAGAGCATTTCGAGAGGGGGAGCTGACTCTCCCTACTCTCGGTCGTACCAGGGAGCTTTAAAATCTTATCTGATACATAGTTTGGCAAACAAATTAGCTCATTAATGTACAAAAATGTTAATGTAACTCTAAAGAAAGAGAAAGAGAGAATACATCTCAGTGTTAGATTAATCAGTACTGAATTGTATATACTTCCGGTTTTGTATCATTTTTTAAAGATTGTTTTTACTTTTTTTTATCTCATCCAATAAATTAGATATAATACTAATCAGTATAATGAATGTATTACAGTCATTATTGAATAAAAGATTAGCGATTGTTACTATGGACAAAGTAAAACAATTTGGATCATAAAGATTGAGATAACTAAGACTAGTACTAAAGATTCATGAGTACATTTTTGTTCATCTATAATTTTAGTAACGTTTAAATGTATAAATCTCAATCTGTTTAAGTGACGTCTGTTTAATACATCTGTTTGTTTGATTTTGTATGAGCTGATGAATAACTATCTTTACCAAATATTTCATGTAATTCTAAGCAAATATGGCTAGTGGTTAGCAGTGGAATCCACGATGCGTGTTTCGTTCTATTTGAGACTCGTCTGTTGGATATATCTGCATTTCAGAGATCATGTTCACTCTGGGATTCGAACGGAATACTGTTCACTTCAAACGCAATCACATTATTCACTGAGCTACTAAGTTTTGATAGCTCAAATAGGAAGAAAAACGCGCCTCCTGGATTCGACTGCTAGCCACTATCCATCGTTACTTAGAATGCTTATGAATTAAGTCAATATCGAGGCAATACGCACAGTATGCACATATAACAACAAGAGACTAATCAATTTCAATTCATTTTCCTATCGTAACTAATTGGATAACGCGATAAGCTTTATAGTGAACTGCTTTGAGTTCAAGTCTTGGAGTAAACATCAACACATGAATTTACATTCAACAAACGAGTCCTAAATGGGAAGAAATGCACATCATAGATTCCATTTCTAACCACCATCTTGTCAGCATTTTAAATCGATTAAAATATTCTAGATCATCGGTCAATTTTCATTACCATAAGCTGTTTACTATTCATATTTCTGCTTGAATAAAAACAAAATCCTCATGTATTCATGCCCATTTTTGGGCGGGGGGGGTGGTGGTCGTCTTAACTACCTACGTATTAACTTCAAACTGTTTAAAGCAATATTGACTACTTTCAACTATATCTATCTATCTATCCAACTGTTCAATATGAGTTAATAGAATATATTCTACCTTCAGGTTATAGGTCAAAAGTTCATTTCCTTCAATCAGTCACAAACAATTGTCGTGATTTCATTTTTCCTTACTTGTCGTCGTTGTTATTTTTCTTTTTTTTTTTGTTGGACCCTAATTACCGCCCTTTTTTTTGTATTTTTAACAGGCAAAAATAAAAAAAAAACAAAAAAACGCATAATTAATAAGTTGTCAAGTTGTATTTTATCTAATATAATATATCCTATCATTGTGATTTATATTTGTGCCACTGATAGTTAGTTGTTCTTTTTTTTGTTGTTGTTGTTTTGTAACCCTTTGGTTGACCTCCTTTTAGTTTTTCTCTTTTTTTTGTATTTCTTTTCATTCTTTTCCTTCTCTTTCTTTCTTTCTTTCTTTCTTTTTCTCTTTCGGTTTATGATGAATAGTTTAAGTATAATTCAGTAGTATAATGAATATTTAGAATTAGATTAATGTTGATAAACTTATAGCTGAATTATAATGAGATAGAAAATGTAGAGTATACCCATTCAAACTGCGGTGTGTGCTAATTATGTAGACATAAGTAGTATATGATGCGAGTTAAGAACGTAATGTCTGGCAGCAGAAAATGGGAGAAGATCAAGAAAGGTAGAGCGGGAACACAGTGGAATTTGTATGGAAACTCATGAACAATGAAATCTGAGACAATGAATTGACGTTTATAACAGAAACAGTCAAGTTTGATATGATGGATTGTTATTTTGCAAATCAACGATTCACTATATGATTGTTAGATTTTATTATGTAGTTCTGTAATTTGTTGTCAAATACATTCGATTGTTCCCACTGGTGTTCTTGTTCACTACAAAACCACTTTAGTCATACTATCTATTACATGGAGTGGATATGAGGATCATTAAAATTCGAGATGATGTAGAATATTTTTAGATCAGATGGATGATTTCTTCACTTCTATCTAAAGTTTGTGCTAATGATATTGTTCAGAAGAATGATGAAAGCTCCATGACCAATACTTCCAACTCAGAGAACGAAACTCTATCAAAACCAGCAAACTTCATAATGAGATCACCAAAGAAATAACAATCTAAGCATTATAGTCTTTGATTCTATCATCTCCTGGGTTGTAACTGTTCATTATGGATTAGTTCGATACTAGATCGGGATAGGTATTCAGTCATAAGGGAACAATATTGAAGAAACATAGCTTATACCATTAATTAAAACAAAACTAACCTCGATGACGACTTGTTGCTTTGTCCATCATTAATTCACATGTTTCCACCTAAAGTTAAATAAATACAAAAATTGTATTGTATCTGAGGTATGTAAGTGTTTCCGATTAAGAACATGTATATTGTTTTTAGAACACAATATTTATGGATGAACCAATCACATTTAAGATAACAGACGTTGGATTTCGGCGTGACATTCACCCATCCATATAGATAGATAAAGTTTTGGCATTATAGATAATGTCAGTTCATGATGAAAACCCATTAACTGTAAACTCTAATTCTAATTCTTCACAATGGTTTATAACCATCATTTGATCCTAGATACTAGTTGAACACTCTTAAGGTCACTCTAGCGTTGCTCAAAGGTCGTCCATAAATTATAATCCGACCTACAACAATTTTCAGAACCTGATGTTTGGCTATCAGCTCAGGAAACTAAATATATATCGAAGATCTTTGGTAAAATAAATGAATAAGTATCAACATGATCCCTTGAAATTTTCGGTCGAATGTGGGGAGAGTCAGTTCCTCCTGTCTTTATACTCTCACATGGCCATGCGTATATAACCACCGACAGGGAAGTCCTACTCACTGCCTTCTCGTGGCGGGGGTGTTGTCTACGAAAATGAGAGGATGGAAAGCAAATATCCGGCGCTTTAACTGGATCTCAAACCAATGGTGCACATGGGCTCCAGTATCCTAAGGGAACAAATGGATCAGACCTTCAGGTCGAAGGCTCCGGATGTGGCCCCCTAAGAGAACTACCCACTTCGGTCTGAGCACCCAGACAGTATCACAGCCCTCGCACAAATCAAACGAGATTTTGTGTGGCGCATATGTGTTCAAATAAATAAATACCTCGTTTGAATAACTGATCATTTACAAGGTCTTTTACTACAATTTCTGACCATTAAAAAAAAACATTGAGTAGCTTATGTAGGGAAGATTAACTTCAATTCAATGAATTGCTGAAGTCCTAAATAGTCTTAGACAACTGTTGTCTCCATCGCTTCTCCTATACTTTTAGTTTAAAGGATTTCTCATTTATTTAAACTATTAGCTTGAACAAGACAGTTATCTTTTTATTTCTTCTTTAGCTTATCTGATTAGACTAGATTTAATCCCTTTTTTGTTTAGAATAAGACAGTCGTTATTCACTGTTAGGGATTAGAATGAAAAAAAAAAGAGAAAAAACTATACTGTTTAACCTGTTTTTCGATTGCAGTTTTCAAAACTTATATATGTATACATATACTATGGTGGATTAGTTGAAGTTAGACATTAACACCATTGGATGATGGTCGATTTATTGGTCTAGAAGTTAGGTGTTTGCTCGCGAGACCGATAGGTCCTGGGTTCGAATCTCGCGGGGCGGAGTCGTAGATGCGCACTGCTTAGAAGTCCCAACTAGAACAAAATGGCCGTCTAATGCTTCTAGGTTTTCCACAGTCGTCTAGCTTCAGTTGACTCATGAACTCAATTATTAAAATACTATAATATCCATAAAAATATATAGTTGTTTTCTCGAAATCATAATCATAACAATAATAACGAAAATAATTATACTAGTATAATGGGGTTTAAGGAGATGATAGAATCCTCATAGTTTAAATCATGAATTAATCATATCTAGATTACCACTGTGTTCCACCAGGATGCTTGGTACCTGTGTGGTTGCGCCACAGGATTGAGCTGTACTATTCAGATTGTAGCGTTAAAGCCTATACAGTATCTGGCTCTCCTGTTAAATGGGTTTGGGCTGTACTGTTTGTGTTGAAACGTGAAAATTTGGACGGTGTCTGGTACCACTGATTATACAACTCCTAGAGAAGTAGTGAAATATGAACAGTGGAGTTCAGTCTTGTTGGATATAAGACTGTTTTCCAACTTTTCAAAATGTCAGAAAACCCATAGCATAAATATTCAAAACTCGTCAAAAAGTATAAATAATCTTGATTGAGATCATGAACCTATTGATGTTAGACCACTATTGAAAACCTGGAAGCACTAGACGGCTATTTCGTCCTATTGTTGAACTCCTCAGCAGTGCGCATCCACGATCCCGCTCGTGAGATTCGAAGTCAGGGCCTTCAGTCTTGCGCGCGAATGCTTAACCCACTAGGCCACTAAGCCGGTATCCAATGATGTTAATGTCTAATCTCAACGAATCCACAAAATTACGCAACCATCTTTCATTATACTGAGGTAGATACCTGTTTCTACCCGACAATGGTCACGGCTTTTCACCAGAACTCCGAGAATTTTCTCACAAAGCTAGTCACTAGTTAACACATGGTAATTATCAGTTTAGAGGTTGAGGAGATTGTTAAGATTAAGCGCTAGACCGAAGGCCCTGGGTTCGAATCCTGCGAGCGAGATCGTGGATGCGCACTGCTGAGCAGCCTCACAATAAAATAAAACGGTCGTCAAATGTTTCTAGGTTTTTCATGATAGTCTAGCTTCAATTGACTCATGTTCTCAATTATTAAAATTAATCAGAGAAGGGTTTTTATGGATATTATAGTAACTTCAATGGTTGAGATCATGAGTGAATTGAAGCTAGACCACCATGGAAAACTTGGAAGCACTGAACGGCCGTTTCGTCCTATTGTGGGACTCCTTAGTAGTGCGCATCCACGACCTCGCCTAGCGACCTATTGGTCTAGCGAGCAAATACCTAACCTCCAGACCAATAAACCGGCCGTCATCCATCGATGTTAACGTCTAACTTCTAACTTCAACCAATGCACAAAATTGAGCGACACATCCACTAATGTGTTCTGTGAGTTATTATCTCACAACAGAACTCCACTGGTCACTGTTTCCTACTAGAACTCTAGGAAATACCTCTTGGAGATCGTCATCAGTGAGCATATGATAAATATAATCAGAGAAAGGTTTTTGTGGATATTATAGTAATTTCAATGGTTGAGATAATGTGTCAATTGAAGCTAGACCAATTGAAGCTGAGAAGTTCCACAATAGAACGAAACAGTCGTCAAGGTACTTCCAGGTTTTTTATGATGATCTAACTTCAATTGATTCATGTTCTCAACTAATAAACTTAATCCTTTTAAATTGAATTACTTAAGTGATACAACGACATCTGAACAAAAAGTGTTATGATTCAATAACAGTTAAGTTCACCATCACCGTCATCATCATCATCATCATCATGACCTAGTAACCGCATAGTAACCAGATTCATTTGTAATGAAATATTATAAATCACCAATATGAAATCTCTTTCATGAATAAATCTGTTCAAAACATATTGAACTAACTTATGAACCGATTGTATTAAGTTTTATTAACAATATAATTATGTAATTCACAATATGGGTTGACAACTGTTTTGTATAAAGTTAAAATGTATTATGATGTTACATAATGTATGATTAAAATAGAAATATCATAGGGGTTAGTATATATACATATTTTTTTTTGTTTTTTGTCAAGTTTTTTTTTTATTTTTTGTTTGTTTGGCGTAATCACAGACATTTACATACATTAAACATTTTATATTGCGTGTGTGCGGTGTGTGCGTGTGTGGGTCTGGATGAGTGTGGATTGTCGGAACTAACTAGAATTGTAGATCAATGACAGATAAACACTGTTGGAAAACATTTTTTTTTTCTAAAATAATATTTTACAATAGTTAGCAATGAAATATGTATAAATTGAGAATGATACTGTTTCTATGGTACAAGAAGGATTGGATTCAGAGGTATAGGTGAGAATTGAAAAAAGCAATAACAGTATTTTTACAATTGAAGAACATATGCAACTCAAAACAACTGTCTGTCAATCAATATCAAAGTCAAAATCTTTAATACGAACGTCATAACAGTAAGTTTTATTGTATAGAACTGTATCCTGGAGAACTACTATAAGCATTATCAAGAAAGTGAAAGTATTTATAAACAATTGTCTATGTAAGATATTCCATGTCTGTTAGCCAGATATCATTAGCAATAGCCTACCATGGAAGAGAACAAACCAAGTTTCATCTGAGAAGGAAATTAGGAAAAGACATTGGAAGTGGATGGGACATACATTGTGGAAATCATCAAACTGCATCATAAGGCAAGCCCTAATTAGAAATCCTAAAGATAAGCGCAATACAGGAAGGCTGAAGGACACATTATGTCAGGAAATGGAAGCATATATGGAAAGGATGAATAACAACCGGTAAGGACTAGAAAGGATTGTCAAGGACAGAGTTGGATGGCGAGTGCTGGTGGGTGGTCCATGCTCCTCCACGAGGAGTAACAGTCGTAAATGAGTTTTCATTGTCTTAAATCTGACTCTAAATTAGAAGGCTATGTGTTCGAATCATGTCGGGTTCACCAGTTTAGTGGTCTTTATTCTGACTTCAGATTGATCGTGTAAGTGATTGTTATTGAAATATTGATGTCAGCTATCCACTTATATAATTATCGATTTAATCCACGTTAGTGAATAACGGAATTAAATAACGGTATAGAGTTGTGGAGTATTAAGTTTTTGATTGAGATCATGAATCGATTAATGTTAGACCACCATTGAAAACCTGGAAGCACTGGACGGCCGTTTTATCTTAAGGTTAAGTGTTCGCGCGCAAGACGGAAGGCCTTGAGTTGGATGCGCACTTCAGAGGAATTAAATAAGTCAAATACGACAATCACTCATTGATCTGAACAAATAATTAGAGGGGAGAAGCGAAATAACGTGCAATGGAGAGGTGTGAGTCAACTCGATTTAATCAAGAGTCAATCAATATTTATAGTCACACAAAAATAAATTACACACATGTGATGAGTAAAATAAGTAATGCACACACATTTGCTAACATAGAAACAGTCAAAGTTGACAAGCGAAGGTCAAAATGTGATTCAAAAAGTATGAACAAATTGGCCTATCCAGAAGCTAGAATAAACTCCATGGGCTTAACATAATAACCGATAACATATTGTCTGCTACGAGTTCCTTACCATAACCAAACATATGGTACAGAATAATAGGACTATTTTATTGTTCTTTTTACTTATAATGTACTGTCTTCAAT